GGATTGTCCATGAGCACCTTGGGTGCCAGGGTGATGGATCCCCATAAGCACCTCAGGTGTGAGGGTGATGGACTCTCCCTGAGCACCATGTATGTCAGGGATGTATGTCAGGGTGATGGGTGATGGTTTTCCACGAACTTGTTGGGTGATGGCTCTCCATGGACTTGCTGGGTGATTGTCTGTGGAGCACCTCCATGCCAGTGGGGCTGGGGGACGCAAGACAGAAATGCTGAGATGTTTTCTCTCCTTGCAGCCACCCCCCTGGACATCCCCAACATGTTCACCTTCTGGGAGGATGGGAGGCCAAACCACCACCCGGAGCCTTTGCAACACATCTCCTTGGTACACAGCTCACAGGACATCCCCCGGCATAGCGACTACAGACCGGGGCAGATCGAGTCCAGGCTGGAGCTCCTGCAGGCCCAGCTCAGCAGGTGGGCAGGTCCCCCAGGGCACAGGGTTGTAGAACACCCAAGGGGGATTTGGGCCATCACCTTCTCCTGCTCTCTAGGGGTGGCTGCAGTGGGGTCTGTGTGGACCAGGTGCCACCTCCTGACCCCCTGGGACACTGCATTCCCTGGGGAGGTGGTGGGAGCACTCTGCAAATGCAGCAGCTTCTCAAACTGCAAGTTGTCACCCTGGGTGGTGCTGTCCCACCACCCCTGGGATCTGCCACTTTGCCACTGCCTCCCAAACTCGATGCAGTCGCAGACACGAAACCACCCACGGGCTCAGGACCTGAGCCTTTTGCAGGCCTCCTCTTCCTGTGGCAAAGAGCTGCAAACATCCTCTTGCTCGAGCAAACGAGCCTCGTGCACATTGTTGCCCTCTAAATAAGAAAAAAAACAACAAACAAACCCCACGATTTTTAAATGAGAAGAAAGAGCCCACACCGGAGACGCAGGTTTAAAGGTCCCAGGCAGCACCCCCACGAGTGGCTGGCTCTCCCGCTCCACAGCTGCTGCCCAAGTTAAGCTCACTTCAATACAGAGCCCACACGTGTCCTTCAGTGTCTTGCCATCCCCAGCACCAGGGGCTGGATCTCCTGCCCACCCTGGAAGTGCCGGCCCACTCCTGCCGGAGCTGCTCATTGCAGTCAAGGACAAGGCAGAAGGAAGAGACTTATTCTATTTATCCATTTCCTTCTATTCCTCAGTTAAAAATGGCTGGCACCAGCCTGCCTTGCTCCCATCTGTCAGCACGGGCAGCTGGCCTGGAGAATTGATCCAGATTAAAACTAACCGTTGCAATTTTTTTCCCCGCTCCGGGGTAGTTTTAGCTTTATTCGGTTCCCCGCTCCACATCCCAGATTGGCTCCACAAAAAATCAGGCATGGCAGGAGAGAGATGGCAGGATTGATCTCTCTGTGGCAGCGCTGGGTGGAAGCTCTGCTAGAAACCTCGCCGAGCAGCACCAGGCAAAGCATCATCACCCTCGGGCAGCTGAATCGGCACCTCCTCCCCAGTGCCTCCCTTGCCCGGCCATGGCTCTGGCTCCCGTGGGATGCAGCGGGATGCACTGTGCTAACACTGGGCTGCTCTGTCCCCAGGCTGGAGTCCAGGATGTCGTCAGACATTAATATAATCCTCCAGCTCCTGCAGCGCCAGCTGTCCCAAGTGCCGCCCGCGTACAGCCCCATCTCGCCGTCATCCCACAACCTGGCCATGTACGGCATCCTGCCGCGGAGCATGGAGCCCCTCACCCCCTGCGTGCCCCCGGAGGACGAGGAGCCAGCGACCCCAGAGCAGGTAAGGCCACCCCTCCTGGCTCAGAGCGTCCTTCTGCCCCAAGCAGACGGGTCCTGGAGGGCCAGCAGTTCCTTCCAGCCTCCCTGCAGGCAAAGCCCAACCAAGCTCTTTGCCCCCGGGCAAAGCCCAGGGGTCTTGAGATGGGAGTAGGTCTACCTAGAGATGCTTCTGCCCCATGCATCGCTGATTTGGGGGTGCAGCCTGCCATGAACATTAGGAAAGAATTTTTCACCGAAAGAGTGGTCGGGCATTGGAACAGGCTGCCCAGGGAGGTGGTGGAGTCCCCATCCCTGGCTGTGTTTAAGGGCCGTTTAGATGCAGTGCTGAGGGACATGGTGTAGGGGAGGACTTTGTAGAGTAGGGGAGATGGTTGGACTCGATGATCCCAAGGGTCTCTTCCAACCTAGACGATTCTATGATTCTATGATCTCCAGCACTACGGCGTTGCCCCAGCATTAGGGAAGGGAGTGGGTTCCTCTGCTCTGAGGCTTCCTCTTGGGGGCCTGATGGGGTGAGGAGAGAGCGTGGCTACTTTGTTTTGCTTTTGCCATAACCCACCTGGTTCCTCCTTTCCCACCAGAGCCCGAGCTACACGGAGGTAGAAAAGCTCCACTTGAAATCCAGGGACTCCTTGTCAAGCGGGATGCAGCCCACTGTGGCATCCGACGAAACCATGACGGTCTACTCCGAGCAGGAGCACCATTCCCCACCTCTCCCGAACCCAGAGCCTCCCCACCAAGGGGCACCAAATACCCAGGGACTCTTGCGGGGCTCTCGTTTCCCTTCCCTCCCTGAGCACTTGGAGGCATCCTCCGAGCACCAGGACATTCAGAGACACCTCTCCGACCCAGTGCTTCCTGGAAGTTAGAGATGTGGGGGCTGCGAAGCAAGTCAAGAGGAACCTCAACTGCGAGCTCGGTCAGTTGATGTTGATTTTGACTGCAAGGGTAAGTCGGAGGACAATGCCATTGGCTCAGGGGTATAATTTGTAGCTGTCTTCTGCCACCATGAAAGGAAGCGTAGAGTGGCTGGCTTCCAAGGTCAACGTTTTCCAGCGGTTCCTATAGAGTAGATTTCATTTGCACATTCTAGTGAACCTAGAGCAGTTCTTTCTTACGGCCACCAACAAGCTGGTGAGGCCAAAGGGTACCCACCACCTCTTCCTTGCCAAGGCTTCCTCTCGAGAACGGCACAAGCCAAGTGAGCCACAGCGACCCGAGGAGAGCGAAACCACAGCTCTTAGCTGTGAGGCCACTTTGCTGTCAGCTCTTTTGGAGCAGGGACCATTGCGTTGGTACTAGGCTTAGCCCGGCGGAGCCGGTGGGCATTATGGAACAGGTGGTCACCAGAGGAGGAGGAGGAGGAGGAGGAGGAGATCCCCACAGTGTGGTCCCGGGGGGAGCTGCAGGGGGGAAGCCCAGGACAAGGAGAGAGGAAAGAAGCTATCCTTGTCCTACTTGACTGCCACTGAGAAACTAAGGGCCAACAGCCCCTGCCATTTCAGCATGCTTCAGCATGAGTCCTAGGGCACTGACTTCTCCAGCAAGGCCGATCGCACCTTGCAAACCCCAACACACATCCCACAACTCCCCAGATAAACCCAGCTGGTCATTGGCCTGGGCATAAAGCACAAAACTCAAAAAAAAGCACAATCCCAGAAAGCCGAAAAGCCCCAGACCCCTCATCTCCAGCCCTTCCTCCCACCTTCTCTCTTTTGATAAAGGTTTGATAGATGCTTCCTCCTCCCCAGCCCTTTGCCTGGCAGCATCCCCCGTAGGAGAAGCCCACTTAGCACTGCCGCCTTGCCGTTCGGTTAGATGCTGTGACAGTCCTAGGCCGCCTGCTCAAGTAATGTATCGAGCTCCCTTTGAGAGTAGTAAAACTGTGAGCATCTCTTTCTCTGGAGTTTTAGTGTACACTTTGCTAATAAAGATGTTTTTGGCACCTAATGTGGATGACAGCTGCTTGTTGGGAGCATCCGTGAATTCATCCCCAGCAGGGGATAATCTGCAAAAACCCCTCAAAAGACTGTGGTCAAACCCCAGTTGCTTCATCCAGGGAGCGTGGGGCTAACAGAGCCCACGTGCAGGTCTTACAGATCAAGGATGGGGCCTGGAGGGGCTTTGCTGAGCAATTCCTTCCCAATAGGATGAAGTCCAGGCTCAGTAGCCATTTGCAAAAGCTCTTCTACAAGACCAGCCTGCATGTAAGAAATGACCTCACAAACACACCTCAGGTGATGATTCCACCAAGAATCTAGAGCCCAACCTACATCCCTCACTGAAGGGCACACAGCTCCTGTCCCCATGGGGCTGCTCCCTCGCGAGGGCTGGAGCCAGGATCACCTATAGCAGATCCCATATGGCCCTGAGAAGGGAGGACAGACCCTTTGCCCTCAAGCAGGCGGTTAAACCTGCCTCTCCCCAGCCGATCTCCCTCCGTGGCAGGGATAAAACCAGCCAGCAGCCCCAGCCCAGGCCCCCAGGCTGGCACAGTCCCACAAAGGGGCTATTTATAACCTGGACCAGCCAAGGTTTTGGCTGGCAGTGGCCAGGACACCTTCTCTCTCACCTAGAGAGCCGGGAGGCCTTCCCAGGAGGGGCACAGTCCCTGGGGAAGTGCCCAGACCCCGCACCAGGGCCTGGGGCAGCCACCGGCCCTGCCATGAGGGAACTGAGCTGCCAGCGGGGCCTCAAGCCTGGCACTGGGCCTCAGCCTGCCCTGCTCCGGACAGAAGCTCCCTGGGAAGCTGACACCCATCTGACCCCCTTCCCCAAGTAAGGCACCGGGCACACGCCAATACTGCTACATGCTACCAAAAATAAAACCCCATCGTTAAGTTGCAGTTAATTAGAGACGAGCCCGTCTTTATCAGTCATTCGGCGGAGGCGGGACTCGAACCCGAGGTACCTCCGTCCTCTTGAAGAGCCTCCCGCCCGCTTCAGGCTGACGGGACTGACAGCGCTTCCAGCCAATCGATTCTCAGGAAACGCTCAAGGTCCCGCCTCGCACCACTGCGACCGCTGGTAGCCAATAAGAGATCGAGAACGAACATGGCCTCCCTTCAGGGCGGGGTCAAACGCAACGGTAGGTTATCCCAGACAGAGGGCGAGCGTCCGTTTGGAATGAAGGGCAAAGCGACCAATGGAAGACCGAAGAAAGCCAAACGGACGGGTGAATTAGCCAATAGATACCCGAAATTCTAAGTGACAGCCAATAGAGCCAACCCGCAGCCAGTGGGCGGGGCGCCCCGCGTGGCTTCCGTTCCCGTTGTGTGAGGGGCCGAATCCCAAACGGCCTCCGCGCTGCTCCCGTTGCCGCCGGGGTCTGGAGCCGGGCCTGGGGGCGCGGTGCCGTCCTGCGGCCTCCCCCGCTCCCCGCCACCTCCGCGGCCCCGCTCCTCCACCTCTTCCCCGCCCCGCTCCTCCATCCCGTTCCCTTCAGTCGGGCCCATCGCTCCCTTCCCAGCCCAGCCCGGGGCTCCCCTCGGCCAAACCCGCTGCCCCCTCCTCAGCCCCGCCGCTGCCCGGGGCCCCCTCAGCCGAGCCATGTCGCTGCACGGGAAGCGGAAGGAGATCTACAAATATGAAGCGCCTTGGACCGTGTACGCCATGAACTGGAGCGTCCGGCCGGACAAGCGGTTCCGTCTGGCGCTGGGAAGCTTCGTGGAGGAGTATAACAACAAGGTGGGGAGCGGCGGCGGCCGGGCCCGGCTTTACCGGGGCGAAGTGAAGGGGAGGAGGGGGTCGACCGTCTTCATCGCGGTGGTTCAAGCGGCTCCCCGGCCCCGGGCAGGCCCCCCGCGGGTGGTGTGGCTGGAGGGAGTCCTCCTGCCTTGCCCCCGGCGCTGGGAGCTGTGTGGAGCCTTCAGGTGTTCCCCTGAGGTGCAGGCTGCCGGCCTGGATTCAGGCTGCTTTTCTCCTGCCAGCCCTCAGCTGCTGGGACACTGAGGGATTGGGGGTGGGAAGAGCCGTGGGTGCCGCTGCTCTCTGCTCCTCAGCCTGAAGGTCCCCTCGCTGGGGTATACCTTGCTTTTTTTTCAGTATGAATGAAAGTTTATGGCCAGGACTGAAGTTTGTTCATATACGGGGTGTCTGAGGCCGTGTTAGAAATGCCCCGTTCTCATTATACTTTCTTTCTTTGGAGACTTCCGTGTGATAACTTTTTTTCATAAGTATAGAAACCGCTTTCACTGATTCCTCAGTACCTTTACTTTTTGCTGAGAACAAGGGTGTAATGAGGCGTGAGATTATATCTTCAGTGTTTCCCCGCCAGATATAAGCGGAGAATCTTACATGGGTAATAGAGACTACGTGTTCACGTCTCTGAACACTTGTGCAGTCATTTCTGAACAGACTTTAATGTGCTAGTCTGATATAATGAATGGAAAAGAGATGAGGAAATGGGCATAGCTATAGAGCATCCTGAAAGTTGTGTGAAACTAAGGTTTTTGCAAATACAGCTTCGTGTGTTTATAGTGTGTGTGCTTTGTAGCCTTGCAGAAAATCGTGGTAGAAAGTTGGTGTTGGGGATTTGGGCTTCGTGCAAGGATGTGATGAGAGGGGGTGACGGTAAGGCAGGGATGACATCTCCTACAGTGGTTAAATCACTGCACTTGCAGCACTCCTGGACGTGATACTTCTCCTGAGCACTTTGTTGTTCAGCCAGTATGAGTTGGCTGCGTATGAGTTGTCTCCTTCTGCTGGTGAGCACTGTTGAGGTTCTGGCAGTACTGCTGGGGAAAGGCAGGTCCCTGAGCTCAAAAACTTGTCATTTGTTTAAAGACCCGACTTGAAAATGTTTCTGTAGTATGTACTCTGAGAAGCTAAAATAACAAACTTGCAAACAGGTTTTTTTGTGTAGAAGTGGTAGAGTTGGCTAAAGAGGGTGTATGCCTTTATGTTGCCTTTACCTCCTGAAGTTTGGCCCATTCCCTGGGATTGCTCTCAATTACAGCGTGATCGGGTTTGCTTTTCACTTCAGGCTTCAAGTGTAAAGCAGTTGACTCAACCCCTGACTTCTCTACCCTTTACACTCCCAGCTGTTGCAGACAGAAATTGTGTAGGACTATGCGAATTACTGCTGTCTGTAAATATTCCCCAGGGCTTCTCCTGACCTCTGAGCTTCAGGAATTTTGTTGACTTCAGTCCATGTAAGCACCACAAGTTGGCTTCTCCTGACCTCTGAGCTTCAGGAATTCTGTTGACTTCAGTCCATGTAAGCACCGCAAGTTTATGAGATCTATGTGGTGTGAAGAGCTGAAAAATAATTGTATGAAAATAGGATGCCAGTCTGGGTGCTTCTGCTATAGAAATAAAGATGCTGTATGATTAAAAATTAAACTTGTACAGTAAATGCAGTGGAACATAAACTTCACTTTGCTGAGAGGTTTTGCTGTGTCTCTGATATTTCAAGGGGCGGTGGGGTTTTCTTTGTGGTTTTCTTGTTTTCTGGTTTTTGTAGTGCTTTCAGTACAGTCTTCCACTGTAGGAAGGTAATTAACAGAGACCTGTCTTGGGTAATTACAAGTGTTGTTATTGCTTAGTGTATTGATGTTGTCCTTTTTACTTTGGGGACCAAAACAAGCTTGGGAGTGGTGTTTCATCTGCACTGTCTTATGGTGCCTTACTGTGACTCTGACAGCTTTGCTCAATCTTTTAGAAGATACTGAAACATTCAGGGAACAGCTTCATGCTCCAGACTGGGACCTCCTGGACAGTACTGTACACTTGTGCTGGGTGCACACCAGCTGTAAACTCTTCCAGCTTCTGTCCATGGAAACAGTATAACTAAAAGAGCAAAAGGAAAGATTGTGCTGGGTGCACACCAGCTGTAAACTCTAAAACTAAAAGAGCAAAGGGAAAGGACCAAAGTTACCCTGTTTCAGTAGTCCATAGCATTGTGTTCAAAGGGTCTGGAGCAGTTGGTTTTATGACCTGGCTTCTGGGTTAAGCAGAAATTTAAGATTTTTATTTTTTTTTTCAGGGCATACGTGAAAGCTTTGTCCTCCTGTGAACCAAAGTTACCCTGTTTCAGTAGTCCATAATATTTTGCTCAAAGGGTCTGGAGCAGTTGGTTCTATGACCTGGCTTCTGGGGTAAGCAGAAACTTAAGATATATATTTTTTTCAGGGCATATGTGAAAGCTTTGTCCTCCGGCATAATTTGCCCTTCACAGTTGAGATGTTTTATATTGCCAGCTTCTGACATCAAAATACGCTTATAGGTACCGTTGGCACTAATTAAAAGGATAATGAAAACTCATTTTCATTTCAACTTTCTCTTTGCTCTCATAATCTTTAGAGGTTTCTGACAAGCTCCAGACAACGTTTCTGTTCTGATGTTGCAATGGTTTGTTCCAAATAGCTGGATTTCTTCCTTACCCTTAACATACTTTTAAAAAAAAAATAGTTTGGAATTGCAATTCTAGCTTGCTTAAAATTTAACCAAATAGGTGAATATACCTTTTCCTTATGACTCTTCTGGTTTAGGGTTGGTTTTTTTTTTAAGAGGTGCACTGAGTGTTTGTTGCAGCAGAAGTGCTCACTGTGAGGGAATTGCAGTGAAAGAAAGGAGATTCTTCTCTTATGTGTCTCTGATTTTCTCTTTCTGTAGTAGTTACCAGAGCTTGAAATACTTGCAGGTTACATATATAAAATGGCTGTTGACACCTCTGTTTTGTGGGGAACTCAAATCTATTGATTGCCAAACCCTAATTTACTGCTATCCCTAATTCCCAGGCTCTTCTAACCTCTGTCAGCCCCTGCACTAACGAGCTGTATGCCATACCAGAGAGCTAGTTGCCAAGAACCGCTTAAACCCCAGAGGAGGTTTGTTTCAGCTCGTGCACCTTTGCTGATCGAATCACTGGTATAAGAGGAGAGATGTCTGGCTCCAGTTGGACGAACTAAAATTATTTGGAGTAGTGTTTCCTGAACTTCTTGGATTAGGAAGCTGCTGTCAGTGTTAATAATGTGTCGTGGATCACCGGTGTAACGAGAGAACGGAGGTGTTCATAAATCTCACTGATGACGCTGTTCCGCAGGCTCCTGGCTATGGCTTCATGGACCAAGAGTGATCTGTGGAAAACATCAGGAAAGGCTGATTTTGGGATCTATCTGCAAGGAAAAACTGGAGTCCAGTTTAGAAAGCAGGATAGGATGTTGCTGTACGCTGCTCATTCCCACACTGGGGTGGACTGACAGGTTATGACCACGTGCTTTCCACCTTCTCCCAAAAAGTGCCTCAAATCCGAGAGCACTCAGGGTACTTGTTTTACCAGGGGTCATTTTTTTTTTTTCTGTAAGGTTTAGAGTTGCAAAGAAAAATTGATTGCATGTTGAAGATTTAAATGGTGCAGTGAGATCTTTCTGATTGTATGCGACCCTAAAATAACTGTGAAATGTCATTCTTAGTAGTTACTAATTAGATTAAAGGAATACAGTTTGTTTTAAAAAAGTACTGTGAACCTCCTTCACTGTTCTGCAAACCAGGCAGGAAAAGGAAGCAAGCTTTTACCAAATTCTGCATTGTTTAATTCTGCGTCTGCCTCTCTTGGATCGTGTTGGAGAGATGCAATTTTTGTAGAAGTTAAGAAATGGTGACTAAAGGTACTTTACTCAGATACACTGTTGCAATAAAGCCTTAAATTAATAAAGGCTTGGATTGCGATAGGAAAATCCACATCCAATTTTAGCATATCTTCATGTATTGGAGAAACAAATAATGATTTAGCATTCCTAGCTACTGTCGTAGCATAATTGCAAAACTAATGGAGATTGAACACGCTGGTCCTCATTTTCTCACTGGAATGAGTTACAGATAGAAGTGAGATGGTTCGAATTGTGTCCAGGCTGATGGTTACTTTTCTGTTAGCATCACCTCAGTCTCGGCTGGGCTGGAATTGATGGAGCTACTTCGTGCAGTCCCTGGCAGCAGCAAATCTTGCCTCACTGCAGGAGGGAGAGACAAGGCTCTAATATAATCAGCATCCTGAAAATAATTCCGTCGCTCCATCTCCTCGTGTTCAGCTTGCCCAAGAGGATGAATGGAGGGGTTCTGTCATCACTGGATGTGATCAAGTCCGAAGAGAAGAGCCATGCCTTTGAATATGCTGAGCTAGGAAAGAATAGAGCTTCTTAAGCAGTATTTTCTGCTTCTGCTCCCGTCTCTGGGCAGACCGATGCCTCCTGCTCGGAGTTAGCACAGGCTGCTGCCAGGTCTGACAATCAGTGTCAGATGCCTGATCCTCAGCAGCTGCCAGGAGCTCTGGTGCTGCTAATGTCATTTTTGTGCCCTAACCTGGCCTGCACCTCCAAATGTCAAAGATCACAAAGATACTGGGTTGCTACACAGTCATTGCTGTTTCTTCAGATATGAGGAAGGGTTAAACACAAATACGCGATGAGGGAATATATAAATTCACACCAATGGAAGTGGGTCCTTTGCGGTTTGAGATTTGGGTCTGGTTATGATTATGTTGATTGCTTTGGGTAGGCTTAATGCACTCATCTTGAGCTGAAAACAATCTAAGCAAAAGCGAAGAAATGATTAGAGGTCATTTGTCTTCTGATCCTGACCTTGCCGCAAGATTTTTCTATCACCAAGGACAACTTGCTTCCTTTGTAAAATCCGCTTAGTATTTCTGATCCCTAAAGGAGTTAGAAAGCTATTTGTCAATCACTTCAGAAGACTGGGAGATTCTTGACTGATTCATACTCATGTAAAATATAATGAGTAGCTGTAATAAAGAGTCCAAGGCAGACAAATACCCAGATTTTAGAAGCGTACTTGGATATGTCTTTCGGGGTTAGTTATGGGGTGAAAAGGATGGATCTTCTCCTTGTGGAGGTTTGCATTTGTTAAGAGCATCTCTGCACGGGCTCATACTGCTGATGTTACAGTTTAAGATCCACTGAACCATTTGTTGTTTTTCTGAGGGGAAAAAAAAATATAGTAGACACCTGATTTAGTTCAAATATGTGGTTTATTAACCAATTTGCTTATCCTAGAATATTTAGGATTTTTCCAGATAAACATCTCGAAAAAAGTCCATTAAGCCACTGTTTCCAAAAGGAAGCTGCTGTGTGGAAAGTACTAGGAAGCTCCTACCGAGAGCCACTCAAACTAATTGTAGTGTGTTGTGCCCCTAATGTTTGTGTTTGAACAGCATTTAACACAGTGGGCCTTTCATCCTGTTTAGGTCTCGTTGTCACTTGGAGGTTAAACATACGCTCCCAGCATCATATTGTTCTGTGAACACTTTCTGACATGTCAATATTTTTCTAATAACATCATGTCTGGGACTTGAAGCGTTACTTCAGGTGTTGTCATCACCAAGCTATGTGGAGATAGTTTCTTGTTTGCTCTGTCTTGCATCGCTCTCACAACTGGGCAAGTTACCCCTTCCCGCTGTCACTTTACTCCGCAAAAAACCCCATTTGGAATCCAGTTACCTAGAATCTTTCAGCAGACCTGCTTTCTTGGTCTTTTCACACAAAACATTTGAATAATTCTGTAAATATTTTAGCTTCCCGCTTTCTTCTTTAAGCTTGCATTCTGTTTTACTTTGTGATGTGATTAATCTGTATCATAATTTTGTGCAGTTGTGACAGAACACTTTGGTTAATGTGATGCTGAAAACAGCTTGATAGCTGGCTGATAAGGTCTGTCACAATCTGTGGGGTTATGGCCAAGAACTCCATGGTACAGGCTGTAATTGTGGGTGGCTGTTGTGCAAACCACAGCTTGTCCTGCTCTCGACATTGTCAGTGTCACTTCAGTTAAAGATGACTTGGAATAATGTTTGTGCAGTTTAAGTCTGTGATTTAAACTAGGCTTTGTAATGTGGAAAAAAGAAGGGTGGTCTTTAATCCTTTAGGATTGGATTTTGATTCATTTGAGATCATCTCTGCAAAGCACTGTGGTGATGATGTATGCTTCCCTTTGCTTACATGCCCAGATAGGAAACAAAGCTTTAACAATTTCTCATTCCATTGATGATGATCCTTTTATATTGTCCTTGAGGTTACAGAAAGTGTCCTTCTGAAATGCTCTCAGTCTTAATGCTTTAATCTTAAATGAGTATTTTGATAAAATGCTTTCTTTTAAATATGGCTTCTTACAGGTTCAGCTTGTTGGTTTGGACGAAGAGAGCTCAGAATTCATTTGCAGGAACACCTTTGATCACCCCTACCCTACCACGAAGCTTATGTGGATCCCAGACACCAAGGGAGTTTATCCAGACCTGTTGGCAACCAGTGGTGACTATCTGCGCGTGTGGAGAGTGAGTAAATCATCCCTAGAAAAAGATAAAGCATGATATTAATTCTGTTGCATATTGATCTCATTTTCACTCGAGACCAGAGTGAGTTGTTTTCCTTTCCGGGCATCTTGCCCTTGCTGCAGTGTGGAGGTTAAGACCTAAAATCAAGTCAGAGCACTTAATAACTTGTTTTCTGAACAGCAATAATGTGACCTAAACATGAAGACTATAGGAGAAGCAGAATTGGGATGGTAGCTGCTGTTCTAATGACCTTATTGAAGATAGAGATGGTGATTGTGTTTTCCAGAGCTTTAGGATGTAAAGCTGAGAGGAAAGAAACCTGGGATTAACACTTTATGTTTTGGAAATGCAAGTGGAATAAGTCGTGTGATGTTGCTAATTAAGTCAGATGTTTCACTTTTCTTAAAGGTGGGTGAAACAGAGACCCGGCTGGAGTGTTTGCTGAACAATAACAAGAACTCTGATTTCTGTGCTCCACTAACATCGTTTGACTGGAATGAAGTGGATCCTTACCTTCTAGGTGAGACTGACAAAATGCTACATCTTCAGCATGGAAAAAACACGCTTCTCTATTTAGTCGGGTGAAGTCTAGGCTCTGACTGACTGCCCTGTCACTGCATGTCACGGGTTAATTTGGTAACTAACCAGTGGCCAGCCTTCTACATTCCAGAAATTGCCATTGTCTTAGGTTAAAAATAAATAAATGAGCGGCTCCTGGAGACTGTTTTGCATTGAAATGTGCCCTGTCCAGTACAGAATGAGTCCCTTAGGTTGGATTGGGGGTGCTCCTTATTTGCAGATAGTCCGAGTCTTCAGGGCCAGTGAGCTATTGCTGTTGTGTTAAGTGATGATAAAACTCTGCTTATTTCAGTGTGTTCTGGATTGGCTAGAAGACTATGTACCAAGCTTTTTCTTTTGTGAAGCCATTTCAGCAGCAGGAGTAAAGCCAGGATCCCTTAATTCTGTTGGAGGAGGGGGCCGAATGCTTGAGGTTTAATTATAGCTTATGGGACAAATTGTGAATCCAAGATGACTGATCCAGCAGAGGTTTGTTTCCCAGAAGAGTACAGCCATTTATGTCAGGGGGATTTGTCCAGAGATTAACAGTGATAATATGTCTTAGTAATTATTTACTACATGATTTATTTTTCGTGTGTTGCATCTCTCATCTCTTAAGAGCTTTACTGCTAGCCCCACCTTCAGTCCACAGAAACAATCAATTAATCATAATATGATTTTGCAACACTACAACTGAATTCTGGTTTTGATGTGTGCATGAGACTTACAGGAAGGGAAAGTTCATCTCAGCATTGCATAAGGCTTCCGAATAGATTGAAGTAGATGGGAGCTATTTACACTTTATTCCTGTGTGGAAGACTATTTCTGCAGCTAAAAGGTTTGGGTCATTTAAATGCATGGTAGACTGTTAGCTGTTTGACATCCTTGGTTTTAATTGTATGCTGTTCTTGTAGCTATTTTGATCTGTAGATTTCAGAGGATATCGCGTTAATCCAGTAAGTGATTAAATAATTCATGATATTATTCATTTTTCTAACAGAAGTGGTTTTGTTTCAGGTACCTCTAGTATCGACACAACCTGCACTATTTGGGGTCTGGAGACAGGACAGGTTCTGGGAAGAGTAAATCTGGTCTCTGGCCATGTGAAGACCCAGCTTATTGCACATGACAAAGAGGTGATGGCTTTTTTTTTTGGTTGTTTACATTGCATATTTTTTAAGCACTAGAATCAGAACTTCTCTGGTTTCCCCATTTTTCTTGAAAGATATAATGATCCAAAAAGATAACTTGTCTATGACTAGATAAACAGTTTTGAGTACCAAACTAAAACTATGCTATTGCCTATCAAAACTGTTCACTCATCATAGAATCTGGGATTGAGAATGTGATTTTGATTGTTTTACTAAGTTATGCTCCAGAGTGTTTTAGAAAAATGAGGTAAAATGTCAAACTGGAATTGAAATCAATTGCATAGAAAAGGCAATAAAAAACTTGCAAGATTCTTTTATTTTAACATGATATTACTTTTCAGCAATTAATATAAAAAATCTGAATCTGGGAAGTTGGTATGTTTAATTTCAGTGAACCTTTAAGTTTTTCCCCTTCCTTGGTAGCGACATCAAATATTTGACAGAATATGTTGCGACTAGATCTGCTCTCCATATATCAAATCCATTTTACTGCAAATGAGGAGGCAGTGTGCTCACTAAGGTTATGTTTTCCCCTGTCCTGTTACTGAGCAGGTGTATGACATAGCATTTAGCCGAGCTGGTGGTGGGAGAGATATGTTTGCTTCGGTGGGCGCAGACGGCTCGGTGAGGATGTTTGATCTCCGTCACCTGGAGCACAGCACCATCATCTACGAGGACCCACAGCACCACCCCTTGCTGCGTCTCTGCTGGAATAAGCAGGATCCCAACTATCTTGCTACAATGGCCATGGATGGCATGGAGGTAAGGGGGCAGCTCATCTTCTGTGGGTGTTGGTGGTTGGGATTTTTTGGGAGGGGGGCTTGGTACTAAGGGGTAGTAAGAGAGGGGTAGCTCTCTTGGAAGCGCTAAAGGGGCAGTGTCAGTATGTGACCTGAAGTATGATTAAGGACCAGTTCTTCACGCACTAACTTCAGTATGAGTTAAAGAAGTAACTTTGGTGTTATAAACTTGAAGTTCTCTGTGGCTTGTACGTATTTCATCTGGTTTTTAAGAGGGGTTTGGGAGCCAGTTGGGCAATAGTTTTCACCTAAAATCTTAACTGCAAGTGTTTTAGTCACCTTGTTCTTTCTCAATTCGGCACCCGAGGCGGTGTATCTTGGTTTGTCCCCTGTGCTGCTTCAGGGAAATGTAATTCGTTTGCCCTCATTGCACAACTCAGAAGCCCTCCCTGTGAGATCTGGCTGCTTTTGAGACACACTGACCAGTGAGAAACTATTCTTTGAGAAGAGTGTTTCCCAGGCACATCCTTTAGGAAAAGACTGTATTTGTAGCCTTGGCTCAAAATACTTGATTTTTCTGAAGAACAAATAAAAAAAATGTGAGTTATTAATTTGGTTCTTTTTCTATAGGTTGTGATTCTAGATGTCAGAGTTCCCTGCACTCCAGTTGCCAGGTTAAACAACCACAGAGCATGTGTCAATGGAATTGCTTGGGCACCTCATTCGTCCTGCCACATTTGTACAGCAGGTGGGTGTGATCCATCCCTGTCCAGCTGCAATGGTGAATCTCTGGGAGCTTTTCACTGCATTTGCAAAATCCTCTCTCTCCAAATGTTTATGCAGTTCTCTGCCTGCATTTTGCTAAAGAATACATGCAGTTTAAAGCCCTTTATTAGTGACTTCCCTAGGATTTTTATGGAAGTAGACACCTACTGGAGCTTATTGTGTGGAATTAGTGAGACCAGTGCCCAAACTGTGCGTCTGCTTTGGATAAGGTGTATTATTTTAGTGCTCCTTAGCTTTTTTTTTTGCAATCTCTGCCTGCATTTTGCTAAAGAATACATGAAGTTTAAAGCCCTTTATTAGTGACTTTCCTAGAATTTTTATGGAAGTAGACACCTACTGCAGCTTATTGTGTGGAAGTAGTAAGACCAGTGTCCAAACTGTGCATCTGCTTTGGATAAGGTGTATTATTTTAATGCTCCTTAGCTTTTTTTTGCAGTTTAGTTCTTAAATGTTTTCAGTTGATGTGAGTTGCACTGATGATTTGTTTTTCAGCTCTGTCCTGGATGGTGTGTAATGATTTAAGCTTATTTCTTTGGAGCACAGTGGTATGGTTGTATCTCCAATACTCATCAGGACTGCAATATTCTATATAACTACTTGGATTTTACACCCGTTCATAGTCATGCATGGAGATCTCGTTATACCTTGATTCTACTTAGGATTTTCTCTTCCATTTGCAGCGGATGACCATCAGGCTCTCATCTGGGACATCCAGCAGATGCCTCGTGCCATTGAGGACCCCATCCTGGCTTACACAGCGGAGGGAGAGATCAACAATGTACAGTGGGCATCCACTCAGCCAGACTGGATAGCTATCTGCTACAACAACTGCCTGGAGATTTTGAGAGTGTAACTTTACTGCTTCATGCCACAGTGAGGCAGGGCTGTATAATTTCCCTTCCCCTCTAAAGTAAGAACAATACAAGTGGCCAGTATCTGTTGTTGCTTTGCATCTACTGTTACAAGGAACTGTTACGAGAATCAATGGCAGGTGTCTCCTGTCTCTCCAAGACTCTAAAATGCAGAGACGTGCTGAGCCTCTTGGACCTTCTGGGTTCTGGTTTTCTTTTTATTTTTTTTTTCCTCAGTTAAAGTTCTGTATATTTGTTTGTTGACTGTATTAATAAGCTTGCAGGCGCTTAAGTTGCTGCATATGTCCATGTGTTTGTCAGCCAGGCGAGGCAGCACACCCAACTAGTTTAATAGATGTGCAAAACAAGGTGGGGAAAAAGACATTGATTTAACAGCCACCTTGGCAGGAATCTTTATCATTCCTGTTGTTGCTGCCTCTAAACTGTTTAAACATTTGTATGTTTTTTATATATTGGGCTAACTTTCTATTGAGTAAGGTTTTTCTCCCTAATTCTTACTTTTGATATGTGATCCACTTCCATATGCCCAAAACAGGATCTGTTCATTGATACGAATCACACAACGCCGCAGGCTCCCTGGCAGAAAAGGCCTGCCAGAATTAACTGTTGCCTTGCCCCTCTATACCTGGTTACCTGGGCAGAATTTTCTGGTGCTGTGAAGTACAAGTACTTGTTGCACAATTTCTTTACACTTTTTCTGATGCTAGAGGCAGTTGTTACTATGGTAGGCCTTATTTTTAAATTCTAACTGAATTTGCATGTATCCTGCAGTTGTGTTAGCTGACAGAATGGCAACAGGTTTCAGAAAGAAGATACGTGCATAACTTAAGCTCCCAGGAGATTAATGGCTCCTGAAAAAATGTGATTTGTAATGGACTTGGGATTTATACTTCCAATCAAATTATTTCCCTTCAGAAAACTTACTGTCTAAACCAAAATAAAACGGTTTCACACCCTGTAGCTTGCTTGATTGGCCAATAATACAAGCAAGATTTTGTGGTTAGCCTGTACCTTGGAGCTTCTTTGCCTTTGGCCTGTGTTCCTGGGAATTCTTGAAAGGAGTGACAAGCAATCTTTTTTTCTGAAGTGTATTTGCTTTGTACTGTCAGGTCTTGTTGGATGAGTGAGATGAGTTGGAAAAGCTGGTCCACTATCCACATGAAAGCTGTTTCTCTGGAAGAAATGATTCCCTAATGTCATGTGCAACGATGGGTTTAAAAGGAAAGAAACGGTGCCACAGAGGCTAAGGTTTGGTGCTTGTCATCCTCATACCTTTTGGGGATGTGCCCAGGGGCTTCTATTTCTGTTTGGAATCGTGCATCGCTCTACAGTAGTACTTCTCAATCAAAGCTGAGTGGATTAGGCAAGATAAAAATCTTCAATAACAGCTACTCAGCTGAACGCTCCGCAGAACTCTCCCAATGAAGACATGACAAGCAGAGCTGGTCTGTAAAGGGAATACCAGCTGAGTTCTGATGTAAGTGTCAGAAACTATCAAAATTGTCTTTCCACCTAATGAGTATTCACCTGCAACTGGAGGCAGCATTATAAATAGCAGGCAAACTCAAATCTTGTCAGTTTATGCAGGAAAGGCAGGTTGGGAAAAGCGATTGCTGTGAAGCAGCGAAGCTGACACTGAAAGCCCTGTCAAATACAGAACAGGATTTGAAAAGTTTTTGTCATTCTGGACATAGAGAAATATTCTTCTACACGCGGCTTCTCAACATGGAGCTCAGAAAAGCACTGCCTTGTGAATCTGATAGGAATTCATTAGGGACAGCTTTATTCCATCACTCCTTTTAATATCAGAGATCCGAGAGACTCTAATGCAATTCGAGCTCATGTTTTGTCAATGGCATTCTGTGTTCAGTTGTGGGATTTTTGACAGAAAGCTTGATTTGACTTGAAGGTCAGTTTTTCTTGTTAGCAGCAGTGCTGGGAGTAGGGTGTTCCACAGACACATCTGATCTAGATGTCAGAACAAAACGATTAGGAACGATTAGGTTATCGCTTTTTAGAACAGCACTTCGTCTTAAACTGGAAAATACTGCTGCAGAATGAAGTGAACACTAGGATTTTCTTAGCAGAGGCATATAATGGCACTCGCAGCTTTAGATTCTCATATAAAAATATGTACACAGGCTTGTCATGTACTGTTTAATTACAAATGGTAGGCATAATGTGCTGTGTTACTAAGAGGGAACTAACTGTAATATTAGTACTTCCTGTAGTCCCCTTTATGCTTCAAAGTCTCATTTTTTGTATAGATGGCATGAGTAAAGGACGAAAGCATCTGTTGCTTAGCTTAAAAATGCAGCTTTTGCAACTGTAGAATTGTGCTTTAAAAAAGACATGAGATAATTTAGTTGAAAGTGGAGTCACTAAAAAAACTCTATAGGCTATACTAAATGGCAAATGTGGTTTATTCCTAGAGGAATACAGTCCGTTATGCTAAGATGATGAGAAGAGAGCATGTGTAAAGGGGCTAATAGTCTGACTAGCCAGGTTGGAAAACCTGAAGAGGATCCCAGTGTCAGTCCTTCCACCCATAAAATTGCTTAAAGTTCATTTGTGGAATTGGGTGCTCATTCCAAACTCATCAAAGGCAAGTGAAAGAATCGTGTAGGCTCCAGTGGGTTCTAAATAAAGCCTGTATCCTGTTTTTTCAGCCAGTTGGGCTACCTTCTAGGTCTAACATACTGCTTTGGGCATAATCCATTGTCATTCTTCATGTGAGATTACGTTTGAAATCACTGGAGGCCGTTTTGGAACAGGGAAATGCTACTTAAAATAGCTTCTTTTCAAAGAAATTACTCAAAAGGTTAATGACTGAAAAGACATGAAAATCCTCACGGGTGAGATGTTCTGTAGTGCAAATGGCACTTCCATAGCGAGGAGGAAGGGAGAGACTCTGGTGCCCTTTTGCCAGCCCCCGCTGCCAGAGTGGCAGGAAACAAGCTCTCTGCTGGCTGGCTTGAGTTTATTTGCAAGATAAAATAAAATTGGGAGAATTGTCACTGTAGCCTGTGAATTAGGAGATAGTTTATCATATTTCACCCACTTAACATTGAATTATGTTTGGGTGTAAAGCCCTCAGGAGCATTATTTTTTCCAAAGTTTATGAAAAGAAATACTTTAATACTTGATCTCAGTTATTTAGTGCTTGCTCCGCGAGCAGAGGATGCAGAGCAACTGCTTTCAAAGGCCTCATATCCCTTGAGTATAAAGTAATATTAAGGGAAAAGCCTGAGCACCAGCGAGGTTAGCAAAGCAGAAAATCATGTGCTGTTGTTAGTACAGGCCAGGCTGATTCTGGGACAGAAATGTTTTTTCTCTGACTTAAGTAGTTCTGTATCATTTCTCCAGTTGATTAATTCAAGATCCTGAGCTATTGTTTGGTTGTTATGTTCTGTTTAAACCAAGCTTTCCATGGATTCCTGCTATTATGTGGACAGCCTGTTGCTGGTGTATTGGCTCTCAACCAGGAGATCTTGATCATGTAAGACTCATTAGCGAGGTGAAAAACTACAGAAAGCAAGTTGGATGTCAAATTAGCATGTAGTATGTGCCAAGTCTGTTAATGGTCTCAAAGAAATGGGCTGTGGTAGGTTGCATCGATGGGAGTTGTACTTCTGTGTGCAGGGATTTAAAAGGCAAGGATTTGAGTGCTTTGACAATCTATTTAGAAAGAAAACACAGTGGTTTCAAAGAATGATATGAAAGGAGACTGATAATACAGGTTGTTCCTTATGGAACCTTGAAATGTACTTAACGGGGGAGGCACTGCCTCTCATAAGTCAAAGTTAATGATCCTTTCAAAACTTAGCTGTAATTACTCTCCTGAATGTTCTGGATAATAGTAAAAAGATCTATTTTTGCCTGGTGTTGCAATGAGAAAGCTGCATCAGTCTTAACTGTAGATCGTTGCCTGCCAGAGACTAGGTGAGGGGAGGAGTCTGATATATTAGAATTCACAGATGCTCTTGTGCTTGTTTTAAATGTAAATGAAGAAAGCTGAGTGTGTCTGTTTTGTTCTCTTGCAGATGGCACTTTAACAAGTATATTTTTGGTAAGATTAGGGAGAGAGTCATCTTTTCCTCAGCCCTTTTATGGTAGGCATTTGTCTGTGTTTTGTATAAAATATTAAATACAACAGTCACTGAAATCCTAAACTGGCTGTGGTTGTCAGTATCTAGTGCACCCTCATCTGTTTCTGCTGAACACCAAAACTGTGAGCACTTGACAATACTGTTAATTTTAAACTGAAGCTCTGTTTTCTGAGACTGACGCAATCGTGCGAGGCCAACCCGAGTAGTCGTCACCCCCAGAGTCCCTTCTGCTTTGCTGAGGAACTCGATGGAGTTTGGGAATCCTCTTTTCTACCCTCTGAAGGTGACAGCAGTAGTGGCAGGTTGGTTGTGTAAAGATGTAGCTGGATTCTTTGGATAACTTATTTTTGTGATAGAAGAAAATGCAGCTGCTCTCTGTAAATCCACGCAACCTCCGTTCATACGTTAGTGGTGTTTTAACTCTTTCAGGACACACCCTCGCTGCTGTTCATCCTTTTCAGTGACCTCTTGGCTCAAAAGATTGCAGAGTTACGGTTCCATCAAAGTACTGAAGGGTTTAGTCTTCTGCTGCTGGGTAGCAGAATGGTCCTACCACCCACGCTGTGGTATCCTGTCAATTACCCCAAGTTCTCTCTGATAGATATTTTCTGCTTCCTACTGCCATATTCCTGAGCAGGCCTGTGTTTATTGTACAGTGGACATTAAAAGGAGGTGTCCAAAATCAGTCCTGGGATGGGCAAGGTACTGTCAAGAGTGTCCCTGCTTCTCTCTACCTTTGTAGAGAATCCAGGGAATGAATTGTACGTGGCACTTAAAGAGCACTTTCTCATGCTTACGTAGAGATGCAGCTGTATTTCCCCCTCTTGCCCAAGAATAGTGAGAAATGTCTTACTCTCAAGGATATCGAGAGGTGCTTAGCAATGCCCCTGACTCCTGTTTTTAGGAAGACATCTCCAGAACTTTGGATCAGCACCTTTCACCAGCACTAAAAAACAGTAATTAAAAATGCAGCTAAATACCAGTCGCTGAATGCTCATCTATCTAGCGGTTCATGGGAGGCTCCAGAGGCAAAGGCGCTTGTGAGACTTGCTGCTGCCTGATTTCAGGTGATAACTTTGTCTGCCAAGTATCTCGGTGGCCTTTTGTGCATCCTGTGATAGTCAGCATCGTGCTAGAATTCCCATAATCATAAAAATAATTTAAAAAATTATCTGTGTGGCTTCTATCAAGTTTATTTCTTTTCAGAAAATCAAACAAAACGAAGAAATAAGCCATTTTCTGAACAAAAAAAAATAAAAATCTTGTGTCCGTGAGTTAGCTGTAAGCCCGTGTTCCAGGTGTCATCCCTTGGAGTTTGCTTTCCTGTTTGCAAGACGTGGAGCTCTCGAGTCTCCTCGGGCAGAGACAGGGATCGGGCTGTGGAATCTGAACCAAGGCAGAAAGGCAAGAACCGGGGAAGGAGAGAGTCCTAGTACAGCTGAGAAGCGATGCGTTGCTTTTTCTTTTATTTGACAACCTGCTAAATATGAATTATGAAATCTACTATTTAAAAAGAACCTTTCCTTTTTAAAAAAAAAAAAAAAAAAAAAAAAAAACTTGGGTTGCTAGCAGTGTAAAATGTAATTTAAATCTGTTGCGCCGAAGCATTTTTGTTACCAGTAGTTGAGTAGGAGATGTTTACTTTTCTGTGTGTTTTCCCTTCTGCTCTCCCCATTCACAGTCCCGTTGTGGTAATTTCCTGAAGGTGTAATCTTTGTAGCATGATTGTACAAACACCCATATGAGATCCCCGACTTCTTGTTCTCACTAAAATATGTTAAAGCAATAGTAGTTTTACTTCTTCTCTCCTTCTTTTCTCCACCTTCCGTACTGAGATTTGCAACTTCGCTACTATACTGTCCTAGAGGAATCCTAGTATCCTGCTATTCAACAGACGTATGTTGTTGACATGGATAACTGCAGTCTCCCTATATTCCCTTATTTTTATGGAGAAAATACAAAAGGTTTTGTTATAATGGATTTTAACACCTGAGTCATGGAACCATATTGTTGAAACTCTGTAAATTTTAAGGCAATTTTCTGAAATCGCTTGAAAGTGGAATGTTGCATCCTTTTATGCTATTTCCTGCTTCCTATGTAGTTTTATTCAGATTTTTTAACCTTCTTTCTAAGTTTCAGCCTCCTGTGTATTAGGTACAGTATTTTCTGCCTTTCATACTTTGTAATAAAAACGGAACATTTGTAGATTGACTGCAGTTCACTGTGTGGTGAGTGAAAAGCTGGTACCTGCGGGGGTGAGCGGGGGGAAACTACTTCAAACAGGCTTCGTGTATCCTGCGTGAAGTTTATTGCTGTAAAAGGGAAGGTGGTTGCTTTATCTTGTTGCTTTATCTTCACTTGGTGAAGTGTATTTGTCTCTCATCCTCCTGATACCCAAACAAACTTGACAATTCCAGAAACTCTTTAAGTTGCAAGTCATTCTGAAGAATTATACTGTTGGGAACCCACCCACCACAGAACTTGGTTAATATTAATATGATATTAAGTACACCTGCATAAACTTTCTTAAAACAAACCTCTGCGTGGTCCCCACACAGTAGTGGTGTTAGTGCTTGTTTTCCAACTCCTTGACATCCTGCTTGTTCCCTGCACAACAAAATGGTAATTATCTGCCTGCATCTTTTTGGTTTTTAGGATGAGGGGAAGAGGGATTTATTTTTTTTTATTTCAAATAATTGGTCTCTAAGGCTTTTTGAATACAGGCAAATTGAAGACAAAGCAATTAGGCAGTTATTTAGCTTCTGAGTCCCTCCTGTGTAGGGTTGACCTGTTACAGGGTGTTTTCTTCACTGGTGCTGTTGTTGCTGAGACTGGAACCTGGAGGGGAATAGGGTGGGAGAGCTTGGAAATTTGCTTTT